AAATTAGTGGTTTTAATTGAAAACAATTGAAACATTTTAACAAATAAAACAATTCTTTATATACATCGAAAATAAATTGTCATCCTGCAAGATTCGCAGGAAGAAATCGAGCATGTTCAAAAGTCAAAACATGGTCTTATCACTCCCTCTAAAATGCAAATCTTAAAAAAGAATTTGAACGTTTCCAATTTGGAGTCAAAATTTATCTAAATACTCATCCGCATTGAGCAGGGAGTTGAAGGAAACATTTGTACATGCATACATGTATTTACACCCAGTAATATTACATGTAATATTTTCTCTTTTATTTCTAGAGAAAACGATTGCCGTTCATCAGTCAGTAAACAGCACTACTAAGGCATGTCCCCAGTATCACTCTTCCATCAGTTAAACCTACTGTGAAGTACATACCAATAATACTGTAACAATATTTTATCTAATTACTTAATCCTAATTTAGATTTTTATTTTTACAGATATGATCAATAAAATTTATTTCTTTGTTAGTGTGGGAATTAACATTGCAGCTGTTGGAGGAAAAAGTTACATAACCCGCTTACATGGGTTATGCATTTTCCTCTGCAACAGCTGCAACATAAATTCTAAAAATAATCATATAGCAACCAAACAAAGCATTTTATTCTTTAAATATGTTTGCCATTTGTTTGTAAACCATAACCGGAAAACTATGATAAAACCTGTCTAATTAATGTCATACCATTGAATCCTTTTACACAGATACAACGAAAGCCTCCATATGAGTTGAGACAGGTGCCATTATTTGAGCAAGGTGAACTCTGACAATGATTTTCCTGAATCTGAACAGTACAGTTTGTTCCCTGCCAACCTTTGAAAAAATGTACATTAATGCCAAACCATTGAACATTGCTGAAAAATGAAAGTTGGCTAAAATTTGTGCAAGCATGTTCCAGTTCATTTTTTTTTTTTTACAGTTTTACCTTTTAAACATACTTTAGATCCGCTGTTTGGATCACAGTTGTAGTGTCCGAAGTTGCCGTCACGTGATCGACAGTGGGTGGAGCAATTTATCCCAAAATAATCCTCATCACAGTATACCTTCAAACCTAGCAGTAGGCTACATGGAAAATAGCAATGCAGTTACATTTTTTTCTCGTAAAAATACAATACCTTTCGAGTTTTAAAATGTCGCTTATCGACGATTCAAGCTGAAATTTTCAATGAAACCTAGACTTTTGATGTTTGTGTTTTGTAAAAACATTGTAAAACAGACTTTCTATTTATATGATATTAATTTTATCTATCTACGAACTTTTTGATAAACACTTATAGCTCACTTTTTTGTAATAGTTTTGGATTTTCCAGAAAATTTGGTAATAATCCAATATATAAATATAACTTTTCATTTTCTCCATCCACACAGATACCTTAGATTTGGATTAGATGTATAGTCAGTGCAAAGTAAAACAAACAAAAACATATGTTGTGCGAAAGACATAATATGGTGTGCTAACAAGGTAAGATACAAGTAATATCTCATGTGAACAACTTATTATTATGGCGTCATTATCGACCTTATTGACAAAAATTTGAACATTTTCGAAAACTGTCTGCAGAACCAGATAGGCAGAATGCAATAAATGACAAATATTAAATAACCTAACAAATATGAAATATGCATATCAAAACCCTATCATGTCTGGTAACATATAAAGAGTGACCATGAATATAATTTATATGAAAATGTTATTAAGCATGTTAAGCGTACCCAGTATTAGCCGAAGTGAGAGAAAAATCTATCATCACAGCTGAAGTGACGTTGAGGCCAGCATAAGTACTATATACTCTGTAAAGGAAGGCGATGAAATCATCATCATTTAAGTCGTCATAATCCCATATCTCCACTTTAATCATCAGACTGCCCTGAAATGATGAATTATGAGAGTTCACTTATTCATGTAGTATGAATGTAAATTGTAAGAAACGCGCACACACATGGACCTTTACACACTGACATATATACACCCTGCCACACCCTCACACTCTTGCATACGTATGAAAAAATGTATAATACTGGCCACTCGGTGAAAGGAAAAAGCATTGGATTGGCAACACCCCCTACGTTGTTACCAAAGAAGATGACATTTTTGTCTTCGATTTCTTCTGTTGACCTCCTACCATATGGGCAACTGTCGATATTATTATAAGGTCTACAATACAGTGAAAGAACATATATAGAAACGTATTTATGAAATTTAATAACTTGTACAACGTGCTACCAATATACAACCTCGCACACTTTTTAAACTCGCATGTTTTTTTTCCGCACAAATTAACGTCAAATGATACAATACGCAATTGTGTAACGAGGCAACAATATATACCTTAAAAATGATTGTTAAACTTAGCTCTAATTTCGTTTCAGTTATTTAAAACATAATTCTTACATAATGATAGGTAGAACTTTGATATAATCTTGGCTGATAAATGTCCTCTGCCTTGATTAGACACAGAAACAATGCAACCCCATGTAACCTGTATTAAGGTAGGATTCTTCTCATATTTCTTGTATTTAAAAATCAATGAAATTTTCACAGAGTCAAGAAGACAATATATCAGTAAGTGATAGTATCAGTGAAATTAAATTTGACCGTTTTATATGAGAGGCAAGGTCAGGTCAAGGTCATTATCTTTTTCCATCACATTTAGAATAAAAAAATACTGTTGCAAATCATGTGATGCCTACTTCTATTTCAAAAAGTTACTATGAGAGAAAAAATACTTTTTTATGGATTTTTAGCTCTAATCTGTACTTTGATTGGAAGCGTTTAAAAGCTAACATAATTCTAGCTTGTTTGAAAAATCATATTTAATTTATATATTTTAAAGTTTAGTCCCTTATTATTAATGTAACTTACATTTGAAAATTTCTTCAAGTCTTTGATTGTATAAAAATTATAACTAAATTCATCGCTCTATTATAATTTTAAGAGGCAGAAAAGCAGATATTTTCATACGCCACCATTCCGCCAAAAATATAGTCCTTGCTAGTTTTCAAACACAGTTTACCATTTCTATTTTAAGTTGTACAATTGTGATGAGGAAAGAAACATATGGTCTTTTAAATCCCTTACATCTAAATATATAAGACATATAAGGAAATATACTTTGAATGTTTTATCTAGTCAGAAACCAGAGAAGAATCCTACCTTAACATAACTCTAAAGTGCAAGACGATAACAGTATTTTTCACCCGTTCGACTGCTTCTGATATTAAAAAGTTTGCATTTTTTCAGAGTTACTTTCTGAAATCTAGCATCATGAAAGATATGTCCCACCGCAATATTTAAAAATGCATGATTGTCTTTTTTCAATGCTACATTTCCACAAAACCAAAACGAGTGTGGTAAGTGAGCAAAGTGCATAGAAAAATACTCTTTTTCAAGAAGTCCGTTTGAAAATATCAACTAAATAGCATAAAAGAAAGCTCGATTATTTCAATTTGTAGATACCTGTGGTAGAATCATACTGCAGATGTAACATACCATTGATTGGCAAAGTCCCCTTTACTTAATGTTTTAAAAGACATGCGTACGTTAGACGAAATGAGATATTAAATACATATTAACATTGTGTCGTCGTAATGAAGTTCGATAATGTTAGTTAGGCCAGCATTTTTTTATTTTTAGGTTTACGAACATCAGAATGAAAAAGTCCCGTAGGAGGAGGAAATAAAAAAAAAATAAAAAATTTTTTTTTGGACAAGTTATCGACTTTTATACAATAATTTATCTTCTTTTTTTATGTTTTCCTAACAGGCTCCATGCCACTGGATGTATAAGGATTATAAAGGGGAAAATAGAACCTTTGTTTATTGCATCATCTACCAGTTGGGGCCAGTGATATATATATATTTTGTTATGTTGAACAAAATACAGATATTTAAAAAAAATCAATTTTTCAAAACTCTTTCAATATATCTTCATTTTTGTTTTTAATATGTTTTGGTAAATGTGTAGAAATTGTTCTAAAATATACTTTAGACCTAAAATAATAATTCCTTTCATAAAACAGACAGGGAGTATTGGGGAGTAGGGTAATTTTTTTTTTAATTAAGTGTAAAATAATTTTTCTGGCTGCCACAAACGATACTACATACCTGTATATATTTGTATATAATACTTGTTTTTAACAGTTGAAGTATTTTATTTCTTTAGGCTATTGTTTATTTCTTCCTCAAATGGACTTAACTTTTCCCATAGTTTTATTCATTACATCTGATGCATAAGCCACCCTTTTTGAAGAATGATGCTTATAAGACTGTAAGCTATAACAGAAACTTAAGGAATGTCTCTGACAAAAGCTACCATGGACAGTTTTAAACCTGTGGGAGGAAAATAATTTACAGACACTTTTGAATACGGATACATAATTATCTCACCAGCATGTCATTGTGCAATAAAGTCGTCAGCATTTTATTTGTGCTCTGAACTTGTGAAACGTTTTGAATGGCACTCCTATCGATAAAGATTAACATTAAACAAAGCTAACTTTGCAAATCTACCTTCATTACCCGCCATGTTCATCTAAAACCGGAAGTACGAGTTCGTAAATTTGAAATCTCGATCCCGACTCAAATTTGACATCGGAAAGAAAAAATTCCTTTTTTCTCAATTTTATTTTTTTTCTGAAAATTCAAAAACTTGAGCGGCGGGTTTGTAAACCTAAAAATAAAAAAATGCTGGCCTTATTTTCGAAGAAGAATGTGACCTTAATTTGTGCGAAAACCCATGCGAGCTTTAAAAGAGCGCGGAACTGTACATGTATAACAAATACTTTCACAGGCAGAGTATAGGTTTTGCATTTGAAAGAGTGCTAATGAGAATCGATATTAGAGAACCCATATGAAATAGGCGACCGTCCGAAACCGCTTCTGCTTTATGATTTTTTTTTAAATAAAAAAAGGACAAATGACATTTTAAGTTCTTTCAAGCATTCTACAATTTCATCTTACCCATTGGCTTTGTCCAGACAGATAATAAAGCGGTGATCACAAGCACTGTAATAATCGTCACATGGGTCACCGTCATTTTCCTGACCCCCCTGGTTGTAAAAATGTTTCATCAGAAGCGAGAGGTGTCCTGAACACTTACATAACTATTAAGAATGTAAATAAATGCTATTTATAGAGTTAAATTTTTTAAATACACAATAAAAATAAAAAAGCAGATTTTGATTAAGTTTTATATGAATTTTGTATTTTAGTTTGAAAAAGACATATATACTTAGATGCATTTAATATCATTTACATGTGTATTTTTTTAGGGGGTGGAGGGGGGGTGGGGGTTAAAATCAGAAAAAGTAAAATTGTAAATAAGAAAGTAAATTATTTTGCATATAAACTCAAGTATTTCAACTTTTATATTCTTAATATTGCAGAAAATTTGAATTATAGACATTTTTGTTCTAAATTAGTTTTTCCTATTTGAAGAAAAAACACGTTTACATAATTTATTGAAATATAAGAAACATTTAAAAGGATCTTTTTCCAAAAAAAACTATATTAATACATGCATTATCCTTCCGGGTTTTTTTATTGTAAGGGGACAATGAGTCCAATGAATTACTTAAAAGATCTTGTTTTGCTTACATGCATAATTTTTTTTTTTTACAATTTAAGACTTTAGAGTCAAAATGAACCTTAAGACAATTTCTCAACTCTCATAAGATTGAGATATTATTGATGATTTCACCCCCCCCCCAAACTTCTCTAAAGTCACAAATAAAAAATTCAAATGTTATAAAGCCCATAATCTACATAAAAAACATTTGAAAAACACGATGATATCTTAATTTAAAGAAGCATACCTCTACAAAGGTGAAAAGAAATAGTGGCTGACGACACCATAACGTTAACAGCATCTTTCGGAGCGGGAACCCTTTCCTCCCATTGATATATAAAAGCTGTAAAAATATAGAGAGGAACCTTCAGTTTAAATACTAATCACAGTTGAGGAAACAATGATAAAATACCTCAATCCACAAGTAATAAAATAGGAAAGCCATGATGCATGTACTTGATGATCATCTATGATTTATATTTAAATTTAACAAAAATAGTGATTTGAGCTGAATTAGAGAAAAATGATTAGTTTTGATTTATTGCGGAATAAATATTTTTTCTGATAATAAGGAAAATATTTTTCAAAATCTGTGAAATGGAATTTTCAAGGTTTACATGGGGAAAACAAGGAAAACTCATCAAAAACTTCTCAACAGCACGGATACGCTTCACAAATTAAAATGAAAGCATCCTGTATATTGAAGGTGTCAATTTATCATTAATGCTAGATTTCAGTTACTTAGTACATGTTAGAAAACATTTTCTTTTCATGTAGAAACTTTGAAATATTCTAATACATGTAAATATAGATTCAGGAAAGTTTTGGGCTAACGTAGTGTGAAGTTAGCAAATTAAGTGTTTAAATGACTAATGGCAAGCTAGTATATTTATCTCGGGATTGATAGATCAGACTTTATATTGCTTTTGATTTTGAGTTTTTTATAAAAATATTTTGAAATTTCTAAAAGTTCTTTAACTTTTAACATATATATGTTAATCCACAGTTCTTCCCTTTCTGCTTTTGATGGTTTCATGAGTAGTAATGAGGGGTGGTAGCTCATTTGCTAACCCTACTGTGTATCTTTTGCAATGCTCTGTCTAAATAAAAAAATTCAATAAGCAATACAAAGCTGAGAACAGGTCAGAAAAACAGGACCTCGGGAGGTAGAATCAGGTTCTTAGGAGGATTAGGAATCCCCTATCGTCAAGTCAAATCCGCCGTGTCAGCCGGTGTGCCTTATGTATTTATCGTGTAGATGGAACAATCCGTAGTCATATATATAGTGTAACTATAAAACAATGGCCGAACAATTGATATGAAATATGTCAGTCACAATACAAACCAAAGATAGGTTGTATTAAAAAAACAAGACCATTATAACTACCATAGAATCTACTAAATGCTGATCTTGAGAGATGCTTTTGAAATCACTTTAACACCAACACCAACTTATCCATGTTATCTGTAAGTAGTCTGCCTCAATTTAAACTTTGATCATACTCAAAGCATGCTCTTAAGTATGGAATCAGTTTAGATATATAAACACTATATGCAGGT